ATCGGTGTAGTAGGCTGCTGAATAGCAGTCGGAGGCTGAAGGGTATTAGGCAATGGCAAATCACAAGGAGTGGGCTTTTTAGGCCCCGGAGACTCATCTAACAGTTTAAGGCTATTAAATTGGGTGTCCAGGGCTGTGAGCTGATCGTTAAGTTTACGAAAACCTGGTCTGACGCATAAACGCCCGCATTTCACCATCGATCTCCCTACACGAGTCGCAACTATAGTGCACGACATTATCACACAGCCAACCAAGGTATGCTGGATTGACTTGCCGTAATTGGCATTTGGCAAGTTTTTATAAAACAGACAATTTTATGGTCCATTATTATGGGTCTCTACTGTAACAACGCAGCCAAATGTAAAAAGGAAGTTATTTAGATTAGATTAATAGCGTATTGAGCACCAACAAGCGGCAGAAAGTAGAAAAAGATCAAAGCGGAAGTTGAAAAAAAGGTGAGAGAGCCCGAGAGTGCGAGAGTAGTCTATTTATAGATTGCTTGCTTGCCCACGAAATCTTGCACACCAGAGAGGCAATGTGCAGTTAAACATAAACAACAAACAACAACAAGAAGCTTACCCACAGAGCTAATAGCGCAAGCGCACAAACAAAAATGCACAAGAACACAAGTTTAAAAGAAGAAATATTTAAATAACAAAAATAAACCGAGAAGGCGAACAGAATAGTAGAAATATATAAAATATAAATAATTAAAACGCCGGTGTTTTATTAAATCAAAAACAAAACGGAGAGCACAAAAAAACACGTCTGTTCGCTTCAAAAGGAAAACGATGTTCTCGTTGCGTACTCGTTGCCATTCGCTGTACGAGGTAATGGACCGATTGTGTCTATTAAAACAGCGTCAAATGCAGTATTTGGAGTATTCGTTAATATCATTGGGGCTTTAGTATGTGTTGTGGTTTTTGCTAATTGGCATTTCACACAAGTTTTCACATACTTTGTAATGGTCTTAGTCATTTGGGGCCAGTAATAGTATTTCTTAATTTTTAACAAGGTACGCATAATCCCTGTATGGCCTCCCTCCATAGGATCATCATGATATTTCGACAGTATTGCTTTTGTATTTTGACTTTCGTCATTTTTTTCTATTTGTGACGCTTTTGTTAGTAGCGCTACTTTTAATGTATTTAAATATTTATTGCCCATATTTGTAAATTCATTTAATGATACAAATTCGAAAATTTGTTCATTTGTTGACAACTGTAAGTTACCAATTTTATGTATTTCGGCTTCTGAATTAAGACTTTGAAAAAATTGACATAGGTCGAATGTTCCATTGGAATACAAATCGTTAACTGAAAATTGTGAAATGATTCATTTTCCTCTTTTAAGTAAATAATTTATTTTACCGAATTTTAGTTTCACAAATCTTTACGTCGGTGTTGCTAACGACTTCATAGACATTGGGCTCTTTTAGATCTTTTTGAACTTTTTGCAATTTTATTTTATCATCTGCGCAGATGTTTTCCTGTATTTATGATGATTTTGTTTGAACCATTAATATTTTCCTATTCATGTCAATTAGTGTCTCTCTGCTTATGTGGGATAATGAATCCGCTGCATGGTTATCTTTCCCCTTGAGGTATTCTACCGTGAATTGGTATTCTTCTAAGTCTAGTCTCACCCTGGTTAATTTTGATGTGGGATTTTTCATCGAAAACAAATATGTTAGGGGTCTATGGTCTGTTTTAACTAAGAAATGCCTTCCATAAACATATGGTCTTAAGTGTTTTATTGCCCAATGTATAGCAGCTAATTCCTGCTCTGTAGTTGATTTATTGCTTTCTCCCTGTGTGAAAGCTCGGGATGCGTATGCAATTGGCAATTGCACACCGTTGTACTCTTGTTCCGCATGTTTACTTGCATCTGTGATTATGCAAAATTCTTTGCTGAGGTCAGCGTATTGCAATAATGTTGATCATTAATGCCTTTTTTAAATATTTAAATGCATCTTCGCATTCTTTTTTCCATTCGAAGTGGACATTCTTTCTGCACAATCTAGTCAAATGACGTGAGTGTTGTGCGAAGTTGTGTATAAATCTTCTGTAGTAATTACAGAGCGCGACGAAACGTCGTGTACTATCCGCATCAGTAGGGGTTGGATAGTTTTTTATAACATCGTACTTTTTGTTATCTGGAAGGATGCCATGGTCTGTGCACTTATGCCCAAGGAATGTTACCTCGTGACTGAAAACGCACATTTCTCTGGGTTTAATTTTAAATTATGTTATCGACAAAGAGCAAATATGATTTTCAAGTTCTTGCACATGTGCTGCTCTGAGCAGCCGATAACTACTAGGTCATCCATATAGAGAAATGCTTGGGATGGCTCTAGGCCTGAAAATGCGAGTGTCATCATTCGCATAAATGAATTTGGTGCTACCTTAAGACCATATGGTAACCGCGTGAAGCGATAAGAGCCAGTGCTCGGTGAAAATGATGTTATATTTCTAGATTTTTCATCTAGTTCAATTTGGTGAAAACCTGACATAAGATCGAGACATGAAAAAAATATTCAGCTCGTCCTAATTGGTCAAGTATTTCCTCAATTCTTGGCAGTGGATATTTATCTGCTAAAAGTTTTTTTGTTAATTTGGCGATAATCAACTACTAAACGCCATTTTTTCTCCTTTGAATTTGGGAGAGATTTCTTGGGTACCAAGAGAAGTGGGCTATTGTATTCTGAGATAGATGGTTCTACTATACCATCTTTTATTAGTTTTTCGACCTGCCTGTTAATTTCTGGCTTTTCTGTTTCTGCATTTCTGTATTTTTTAATATACATATACGGGTGTTTTGTCTGCTAATTCTTCTAGTGACTCAAATTTTACTTTGGGATTTTGAATTTTTATATGTTTACTATTTGTATTTAAAATACGTTCTATTGCGCTATTCCTTTTTACGATACTGTTTGCTATTATTACCCCAGTGTGTATTTCTTGGTTTGGTATAAGAACTATATCTTCATTTGTCAGAAGCGTAATTTTTCTTATTATTTCTGATCTAGCTGGTAAAAATATTGAGTTATCAATATCATTATGTAATAGCGGTACATGTATTTGATAATTAAGTGATTCTGGTTTCATGATGAATTCATCATATTGGTAATCTATAATGCAATTAAATTTTCTGATGAAGTCGAGTCCAAGAATTCCATTGCATGGTATGGGAAATTCATTTTGGACTATTTGGAAATTGTGGCTGATTACGAAGTAATCGAAAAGTAGATCAATTGTGGATTGTCAATTGACGCTATTGTTCCTTGTCCGATTCCTGTGATATTTGTTTTGTAGTCTTGATATACATACATATATGTGAATCTATTTTATTGTACTTTAAAATTGAGACATATGCTCCTGTATCTACTAGCAGAGTTAATGGTATATTATTTTTCCCATTGTGTATTTTGATGAGACTACTGAGACTTAGATTTATTTGCAATATTTTTATCGTTGCTCAAGGGGGTTCGATGGTTGCGAGTTGCCTTGTGTAACTCGGATCTGGTTTTGAATTCAGGGTCCTCTGTTTGACCCGCCTCTATATGAGCCGCCTCGAGGATTGCCTCTGTTGTCATTGTTTCTATTACCATTATTATTATTTCTGTAGCCGCCTCTGTTGTATGGCCGGCCTCCACCGCGGTTTCCACCACGAGGAGAGTAATTTTGGTAAAAAAGGACAGTATTAGTTTGTCCGGTTGCTTCTGTGCAACTATTGACAAATTTGGATACGGCATTATTCATGTTATTGAATGTGCCTGCCTGCATGATAAGTTTTACCTTATCTATAGCGCAGTTTTTGGTCATGGCCGTTACTGCTTGGACTGTACTGTATTTATTGGCTGATTCTGGCGTTAAACCATCGTTTATAAAAGCTCCTTCTAAAGCTTTTGTTAACTGCTCAATCTGTTGAGTGTACTGGTTGGCAGTTTTGCTTTTTTGTTGCAAGTGAAGTAGTTTGGCTGACAATACTTCGACTGATTCGCCTTTTACTGTGCTTGATAATTTTGCAATGATTTGAGCTATAGGTTTCTCATTGCTTATCAAGTTTCTTGCATGGCCTTTTAGTTTTGTCTTTATAAGACTGACAGCTGTTGCTTCATGATCTTCTTTTAGTGAGTCTATAAGACTCAAAGCATCTTTGAAGCTTTGTAAGTTTTCTGCCTTTCCATCAAACTCTGGTAATAGCGATGAAGCTAGTTTGAAAAAACTTATAGCTGTTTGGGCCATTGTGTTGTCAATTGATTGGGTATTTACTTCAGAATCTGATGACTTAGGATCAGCTTGGAATGAAAGCAGCTTCTCGTCGAATGACGCTGAAGTGTTAAGAGAATTTGGAAGGAATATTGTTATATTATGCCTTTCCGAAATTCGTCTAATGTTTTTTCTTAAACTGCTTAAAGCATCAACTGTCTGTGTTAAATGCAAATCTTTTAGTTTTGTTGCATTGTCACATATAAGTTGACGGCTGGTATTATAGGAATCTACAAGAATTTTAACGTGTTTTAAGTTCGTCTCGTTTGAGACAGGTGCGCTTTTGTGAAGGCAATTGAAAGATTTGTTAAACTCCTCACGTTGTTCTTTAAGAATGGTAACGATTTGCGTCCATTCCATTTATAGACATTTTTAATTTATCTGTGCAAACGCACAATAATAATGTCGGTAGGTCCTAAAATAGAGTGTTCTAATTTATGTGTGTTTTTTTGAATGCTTTTTTTTGAACTCTTTCCCTAAAATATGGGTCTCGTAAATATACTTCAGCTATCGCTTTGTTCGTAGCCATTGAGTTTATTTAGGAGAGATAAAAAAAAGAAAATTTCCTTTTTTTGTTTTTTTATTTTTTATCTAAGTTGTTTGCACGACTCATATATTCTTTCTTTAAACACCTATTGTGCACTTTGTATAATTTGAGAAAAGGTTACTGCCCATTATCACTACGATAATTACAAGGAGAACTGTTATTATTCTTAAATCTGGTGTTTCCTCCTCAACTTTATTAATAACGTTGGCGGTGGAATCCACTGTCTTTGTGTCTATTAATCCCATGGTGGACCAAGGGAAGTGATTATGGAGTGTGAATAATACCTCCGTTTTAAAGGTTTGAAATATAAAAATTTGAATAATTGACTTGCGATTTAATAGTTTGAATGATTAACTTGTGATATTTACATCAAATCATTATCTTTCTTCTTCTATTTGTTACAAATGAATTTTATGAAATCAACAGGGGAACACTTTGTAGTTTACATTAGCAAATGTCAAGTTTACAATATATTACTTAGATTAAGTTTACACTACAAAGTGTTTGTTAGTTGTTTAAACTGAGACAAGTGTTAGTTTTTCGTACCTAGCGCAAACGCAAGATGGGTACTTAAAAATTTAAGCGAGGCACTAACATTTGTTGGTCCGCTTCTTCCTGTTTTGCAACAGGGTGTTGATCTGCTTCAGTTTGGCTTTTTCGCCCCCTCGTTGTTTCCTATGCGTCAGCTTGGCGTCGCCGGTGCTGGCAAGCTGACGCTCCCTCTTGTACTCCTCTATAGTGATAGGCCTGGGTCCGTCTCGCAGGCTAGTCTCTATCACTTGCCTTGATTAATGGTGCATCCGTTTGCGTTATTGGTGTTCCCTCTGCGAACGTCGGTGTTTCTGATTCGTTGTTTACCATGTGACGTTGTTGCTGTTATTGTTTCTGCTGCTGTAGCTGCAGCTCCTTTTAATATTGTCGTTGCGGCTTATTGTGGCTGAGCTTGGTGGGTTTACATATGTTGAATGCAAAATTTTTTTTTTTTTCTCATACCAAGTGTTGTTTTGTTTCCGGATTGCGTCGTTGCCAGGTGACGGCTCCTCTTGGATTGTTGTTTGTTTTATTTGCTGTTGTTATTGCTGCTGCTATTCCATCTTGTTACTGTTGTTCTTGTAGTTGAATATGTTGTAAAGAATATTCCCTCGTTGGGTGACACTTTTCACGGTCGCCATGTAGAAAAATGTTCAAGCTGCACGTTAGTGCTGGCTTATAGTTATTTTTGGAATGTTCTTTATTCGGAACTCTGTCCGCTTCAAAACCTAAGATATAGTTATTATAATATGTAAAGCTCTGTCGCAGCAGAGCATAATTCAAAGAGAGAGAGAGAGTGCTTGGTATGTGCATGCATTAGTGAGTACATATATGGTACTCTTGGTATATAAGCCAAGCGTGGGATAAGCGCAGTCAGCTAAACGGCCAGCTAGAGTACTAGCGGTCCGCGCTGCGTAATATGAGCCTGAGTCAATAAACTCAAGCGGCTCTGCGCTTTTGGCTTTATGTTTGTTATTGTATGCAACATAGTGTCGCATACTTATGTATTTAGATACAGGGTGTTATTAAATGCATATACACACTCTGAAAGAGAGAAGATTTTGAGATTAATAAATTTAGTTTTTGTTTGTTAGCCTTATGTGAACATACGCATATATTTTAAATTTATATTTATTACCTTTTAAAAAAAACTTCATTGATGTCCGACTTCGATGGAAAGGCCCCAAAAGTTATTGTGTCTGCCGAATAACAAAAAAAAAAACAGATTTTTGTTAACTCTTCACGAACAATACCCACTTACATACATATGTACCATATCTACAATATATCACGTCTTTTCACCCTTACCGCCCCACTCTGAGAGCTCTTTAGGCAGCCAAGGTATATTAAGCGCATGAACACACATATTTACATGCCACTCAACATTATTTTTTTGTTGCATATTAGTTTTAGCGGGTACTGTTCTCCCATTGGTGCAACAATTACCTTTTATTCGTATCTTCCCCTTTTTTATGCCACTAGTAATAACTTTGGCAGTGTTTTCGTCGCCTGTTCCGTTTGATTTGTTGAAAATGTATTCTGTTTAAAAAGGAAATTTTATAAATTAAGATTAATTGTTACAATTATAAGATAAAGCAAAGAATAATACGCACCTGTTAAAGAGTTAAAGACAAATGTCCGCTTGCATGAAATTATGAATAGCAGAGTGGAGATATATATATAAAGATAAGTGAAATAAGAGATATTGAAATTGTGAATAATTATAAGGAAATGCAACAAATTATATGCAAACACAGAAGTAAAGAAAATGTCCGGCTGATTATCCATTGATGGCGAGAGGGGGCATGACTGCCGACACGGGCTGATGGAGGCCATCCAGTGGCCAAAATGAGGTAGACAAGATTATTTGCTCGCCTAAGGTAGGGCGGGTACACTGGGTCCGAAACCGGACCTGTGACCTGTGATAAAATGTGATATTAGATGGAGTGCGTTTATTGTTTACTATTTGTTTTGTCTCGCTGTGTTTACGTTTGGTGTGTGCAGGCCGTAGTTATAAGACCTTCGGAGACAGGTGACCCAGGACGATATAGATTCGATCCTGCGCCGCACCTGTGGCACAGCATGCCCCAAGAGTGCTCAGACGTGTCACAGAAGCCAAATAGCCTTCAAGGTAGCGTTCCTTGGATGCCGTTCGTCAGCCAACCTGTGTCTTCTCTCCCCCCAAAGTATATTAAATTGAATTAAAAACATAAAACAATTATTTTTCTGAGTTATTTTATTATAAGTAAGATTTTGTAAGTGGATGTGTATTTATTTCTATATTTAATAGAAGTTATTTGTAAAGTTTTTTTGTTGTATTAGGGTTACTAAGCCTTATTGAAGAGAGTGGTACAGTTTTCTTAAGGGATTAGTAAGGGTCAGGAACAGATGTCTGACTGGGTTTCTGACGCTGACGGAGCGTCGGCACTGCCACCGAATCGTCCGGCAGGACGTCTGGTGAGAACACCAATGAATTTCCGTGGATTTCCTGAGAGAAAGATCTTGGCGGACGGTTATATGGTGGAGTTGGAGAAGGAATAGAGCTCCATTGAACCTGGAGTTCCCAAAAGCTTCGAAGGATTCCGAAGTATTCATCCAACAGCCCAGTATTCGTTGCAGATGCTCAAGTGAGGGTCTGGCGTAATCCGAATAATCGCCACTTCCGAGTAGAGGACCGTAAAGCGGATGACTTTCAGCCGGAGGAAGCACATAGCAACGGTGGAACATCGACGACTTTGTGTTCCGTCTGGAGTTCCTACAGAGGCAATATCGGTGCCCGTGGAAGGTGGTCCTGCGTGGTTTTCACCTGCTCCTAACCGGCCGTGCCCGCGAGTCAACAGCTGGATGCAACTGCGACATGCTCTCTTGGGCAAGTTCCGGTGCTATCAGACGGAGTATTATGTATTGCAGGAGCTACTACAGCGAGAGCAATAGACCAGTGGGTCAATGTTTAAGGAAGTGAACCTCTCAATCAGATTGCACAAATACAAATATTTCTTCAAGGCATTAAAATATCTCGAATTTATTATTGGTTGAGGCACGCTTCGCATGGACTCCGAACAGGTTAGCTATCAAACCAATCCCCCTACCTCATTTGTGCGACTCATTTGGTCGTTCCTGATCAGTGCGATGCGTTTCAGTTCGGCGTGGGAGCGGTGTTGTTCCAAAAAGACATTGAAGATCAGGAACGACCCATAGCCTTCTTTTCAGCCAAGTTGAATAAACACCAACGGAACTATTCCGTCGCAGAAAAGGAGTGCTTAGCGTCGATAATGGAAATAAAAAAGTTCACCCCGTATATAGAAGGGATGCCTTTTACATGCATCACTGACCACGCCAGCTTTAAATAGCTGATGTCCATGAAGGACCTCAGCGCTAGCTCGTGGGTCAGTGCAGCTGTAAGGCTACGACTTTACCATCGAGCACCGCAATGGCAGTGAAAACGTGGTAGCCGACACTCTATCGCGCAGTGTCGAAGCAGAGAGCAAGGCTCCAGAAAATCTAGAATTTGAGACCCCCGAGTTCGAGTCAGCGGAGTATCAAGCCTTGCTCGAACAGGTACGTTCGAATCAGGACAAACTACCAGACATGAAGGTTGAGGGAGATTTGCTTTTTAAGCGCACGGGACTCGTCCACCTAGAAGGCACCATGTGGAAGCTGTGGGTGCCAAGCTCTTTGACAGCCGCCTTAATATCGAAGGCTCATGGAGATGAGACGGCTGGTCATGGTGGTATCGTAAAAACACTCGAGACCTTACGTCGGCAGTTTTACTGGCCCAGCATGACTAATCAGGTAAGGGATTGGGTACGATAGTCCATGATGTGCAAGGAAATCAAGGCACCGAACTTCCGCATGCAAGTGGGTCTAGGAAAAGAAGTCGCGACCGAGCGACCATTCATAAAAGTGTACGTCGACTTTCTGAGAAAGTAACCACGCTCAAAACAAGGGCACGCTAAGATCTTCGTGGTGGTCGACCATTTTTTAAAATTAACGTACTTAAAAGGGATGCGAGGGGCTACGGCTCATAACTTAGTGAACTTTTTGGTCATCAAGGTTTTTAATAGGTTTAAAGTACCCGAGGTCATTTACTCTGACAACGGACGACAGTTCATATTATCGCAGCTTTCGGCATCTCGCATATGCGCACTGTAGTCTACGCGCCAGAGAGCAATGCAAGCGGGCGAGTTAATCGCACCGTGTTGTCGGCAATCAATGTGTATCTGGAGCAAGATCACCGCGAGTGGGACCTCTACCTTTCAGAAATAGAAGTATCCATACGCAATGCCATACACACGGCGACATGGGTGACAGCAATCTTAGCCGTTGTTAGACAGCGAGTCCAAAGCCAGCTACATCAGGCTTACAAAAGAAGTCGTCGGCAGTATAATGCTCAAGCCCGGGTGTTCCAGACGCAACTTCGTACTAAGCGATTTCGGGATGGCTTTAACGCCAAATTTTCTAGGTAATTCCCAAAGGCCAGAGAAGTGCATCGAGTGGGAAACAACTCATACTTGCTAGAAGACTTGCAAGGGAAGACCCTAGGAGTGTTTCATGTAAAGGATATACGTGCGAAGACCAAGGTCGTGGGTTTCTTCACGTTGGGCGAGGCTCAGCTTAGGGAAAGGAAAGGAAAGTAGGCAGGCCAGCTTGGGCGTAGATAGAGGCAGAAAATCAGACGTCGAACCCATTGCTCCCGTCAGTGACTTTGCGTCTTTGGGAACCCTTGGGATACTTGTTGCATGGATAGTCTAGACTAGGAGGTATTGATATATTGGTGAGGGCCCTAAGCACCTTAGAGCGCCCCAAATTTCAATGGGGTGGCAACGCCAAGCTCCGAAAACACTGGTTTGAGCGAAAAAAGGTGGGAGAGCGTAGGCGTGTGCGCGCCCGATCCGCTCGTTGGGTAAAGAGCGAAAATATGCCCTTTATGATGCCCTTGGCCTACACGGTCGATGACTTACATATGCCGATCGTGCCTATGAGTAGCAATGCACCGAAGATATGAGTGTATGGTAAGGCAAATTTGGGAATAAGTTTCGTTGCTGCCCAGAGCAACATGGGAATCAATTTGAGTTGCGAGACAATACGGGTTGTCGGGTTGTGCGCAAGCGCACCGTTTCATAATTTTCGGCCACTCCAAACGAAAATTAATACTATAAATATTATACCTGTCGAGACCCGCCATTAAATGCCTGGAAAAGTTCGCTAAAGTGACAACGTCCCTTATCGCATATATAATATACCCAACTATATCATTTCGTGGCGGACCATGAAAAGTAAAACTTAGTGTCGGGCACCAAATTTATTGCCCATTTCGTGCCCAGCCCAGCCTCAAAATTATCAGTGGCTCGTAGGACTACGATAAAAAAATTCAAAAGGAAGTAAAATAATATTAAAGGTATCAGCCAAGGAGCCACGCGGAGGACGACACGCCGGTCCACCCACATCGCAAGCCCCTCATTTGTGTCCCCGCCAATCTCATCCACGAGCAAGGGATCCGAGCAAGAGTCCACGTCGACGATTACCGGCGATTTTTTGCCCCGTCGCTGACCGAGTGATTCCGTTCCATATCGCTCATCCTCGCCCCGAGGAACAGGCAGAGTCAGAAGCGGTCTCATATTTGAGACCTCTGAAAGAGAAAAAATTTCGAGATTATTAAATTTAGGTTTTATTTGTTAGTTATGTTATGTTCACATACGCATATATATGTATATTTATATCTATTACCATTGCAGAAAAACTTCATTGATCTGCGACAGTGATGGAAAGGCCCCAAAAGCTGATGCGTCTGCCAAATAAAAAAATAATTTAGATTTTTGGTTAACTCTTCACGAACAATACCCACTTACATACATATGTACCATATGTACAATATATCACGTCTTTTCACCCTTACCGCCCCACGCTCAGGAGAGGGGGAGTGGGGGGCATGACTGCCGACACGGGCTGATGAAGGCCATCCAGTGGCCAAAATGAGGGAGACGAGATTAGTTGCTTGCCTCAGGACGGGCGGGTACGCTGGGTCCGAAACCGGACCTGTGACCTGTGATAAAATGTGATATTAGGGTAGGTTTTGATAGAGTGCGTTTATTGTTTACTATTTGTTTTGTGTCGCTGTGTTTACGTTTGGTGTGTGCAGGCCGAAGTTATAAGACCTTCGGAGACAGGTGACCCAGGACGATGTAGATTCGATCCTGCGCCGCACCTGTGGCACAGCATGCCCCAAGAGTGCTCAGACGTGTGACAGAAGCCAAATAGCCTTCAAGGTAGCGTTCCTTGGATGCCGTTCGTCAGCCAAACTGACGGACTGAGAATTTGACGAATGATTAAATGTTGTCCACTGTCCAGATTGTGCGTAGATTAGTTAGCCTGTGTAAGGATATGTCTTCTTTCCCCCCAAAGTATATTAAATTGAATTAAAAACATAAAACAATTATTTTTGTGAGTTATTTTATTATAAGTAAGATTTTGTGGGTGGATGTGTATTGATTTCTATATTTAATAGAAGTT